CTAAGTTCAGTGAGCTCGTGGGAAATTTTGGAAAAGTTCAGTGATCATTTGGAGAAAATTGTATGTTTTAAGTTGCATCGATTTTAGAAATGGACTAGTCTCTTAGTACATACATTTTGCCCCCAAATAATCATTGAACATAACCAAAGTTTTCCACGGGATCACTGAACTTTATCAAAGGTTTCCCACATAGTCATTCAACTTTGTAGAAGTTGTCCATCTCATCAGCAATTTGCTTACTTAGCCAACAAATTTTATACAAATGTGTCACGTCACTTGCTCCATTTGACACATCATCAAAATTATTTGATTTTGCAACCGACATTAGGTCAGTGGTGGATGGGGTCCCGATTTGCAAAGTTTAGTGACTACCTAGAAATGTTTTGATGTTCAGTAATCCCGTGAGAACCTTTGTCAAAGTTCAGTGACCATTTAGGGAATTAACCCCAACCTTGTATCTTGCTCGATGATAGAATCTGAGCTAATGAGGAAAATTCAAATAGCCAATGGTAGATCCCACACCTTATGTCCTCACCCAACGTTGTCTCTTGCTCATTGATTTGCTTTGAGTCAATGCCACATATATTAAGAGCATGTTTGTCCAGAATTAAATTCTAATTTTAATTGAAAATATGGCCGGAATTGGGTCTCACTCGTCTAATAAAAGTCAACAATAACGACTAGTTTTTCAATTTTAATCCAATTTTAATCTCTATCGAACACACCCTAAATTTGTTAGTCATACTCACTTGAACAAAAAAAGAATGAAACATCAAATTACTACTAGAAATATTGTTAAAATAATATGTGACCCTCATTGCGCAGTTTCACGTCGTTCTACTTGCCCTAATTATTTATAATTATCTACTAGGTGCAAGCAATGTGCAATGCACGTTTGCGTAGTTTATATTTAATAGTTTTGTTTAAAAATTAATTTGTTATTATTGAAGATGTAATTTTTTTGGTTAATTAAATAATTNTTAAATAATTAATGATGTAATGTTTATGTAATTGATAAATAATTAGATGTGTGACTTTGATGTTGTGATGTAAGTTGGTGAGATCGAAGAAAATAAGCAAAAGTTGACAAATTTGGAGAAAGGGCTAAATTGTAAGGGATCAAAAGTTCGGGGACTAAAATGTAAATACTTAAAAGTTGTGCCGAACCTCACGATGAAGATTTGAGAGTATTTAGAGTCAATTGGATAAAGGAAGACGTCAATGGAATCAAATTTAGGCAAAAGATGATTACAAATCAATTTACAACCGAAAAGTTACTCCGATGTTTTAGTCTCATATTGAGACCTATTTTTGGCATAAAAAGTGATCGAATTGGATAATAATGTCTGAATCAAAGTTGTAGCCAGATGAGTTAGCTTTCCAACGCATTTTGAATCGCCACAATCGGATATCGGAATACAAAGTTATGATAAAAACACTGAATGAAGGTGCAACTACCTGTTTAAAACAAGAAATTCCGTTACATAGTCCGTTAAAACAACAAATTCCGTTAATTTTTTCGTTAAAAACAAGAAATTCCGTTACATAACCACTTTTAATATATAGAAGAAGATATTGTTGTGCACCTAGTGACAATCCCTACCCACATTGCATAATAAATGCAAAATGATTATATAGCTAAATCCCTTTTTGAACACCATAACTTTTCCATTTTCAAAATAGCGCTAAATCTCTTTTAACTTTATTAAAAATCCCTAAAAAATTCATAAAAACTACAGAAAAATCTGGAATGTTGCTTGTTCTTTTGGGAGTTAACGGATTATAGCATAGTTGTCAGACTCGACTCGGACACAGACCCGAACAATGTAGCGGGTCAATGAGTTAGTGGTTCAACCGATGACCGATAGGTCATTGCATAAAAATTTACAAAA